AATCGTGATGTATTTTGGTCTTTAAGAATAAGCCATTTTACTTCCGGCGGGCAGTCGAGGCTTGTTACGATTGACCTGTTAAATTTGTTCGTATTTCGTCAGCCGGGCGTAGTGGCGCACGCCTGTAATCCAGTTACTTGGAGGCTGGGGTTGTTGAATGGCTTGAGGGCGGGTTTCCTGAGGGTGTTCGTTCTATGTAGATCGGGTGTCCGCGCTAAGTTTGGCGTCAATATGGTGAACACAGAGGAGTCTACGTTCCCCAGGTTGGTTAAAGAGGAACGAACCGGCCCAGGGTGGAAACACAGCAGGCAAAAGCTCCCGCGTCAAACAGTAGTGGGATAGCACCCGTGAATAGACGGTCACTCACAGCCCGTTCGAGACAGTTGAACTCGATTCTATTTTCTTTCTTTTTCTTTTTTCTTTTCTTTTCTTTTCTTTTTTCAACTACATATAACTTAGCTATTCCAAATTTGACCTTAAAAAAAGAGAAAAAAGAGTTTCGCAGAAAAAAAATTTTCAAAATTTATTTTTCGTCGATGCGTCCTGGTGCAAAATGGAATGGCGCTATCGGCACCCTATTAAAACTGGTGGGAAAAAAACCTACTCCACAAAAAGTAAATTCCGATCGGGTTAGTTTTATGCTTATTATTCGCTTTGAAATCGAAACGACGAAATAAAATTTTAAAAATATTGAGTTCGAGTTGTGAAGCGAGGTCCCTAGCCTCCCCACCCAGTGAGTGACAGATTTGTTTCATGACGCAACGCAATCCTCCTGGGACATATCATATTATCACGACCAAGAAACATGGCGATCCCGGACGTGGGAAAGGTTTAGTTTCACGACATGTCTGCGAGTGTCAACGGTTTACAAACACGTCTTCCTTTCGAGCCACATTATCTGAAGCCCTTATGCGAACTGAACTGAAAACCGTGGATAATAATTCGAGCAAGAACCGTTTTCACGACTGGATATTTTTAAGCTTGTTGCTCATTTTCGAAAGGGGCATATTTTGGCTACTGTACACTATCTCTATGATGGAGAGTGCCCAGGTTTTTGTCAACGAGGAACCGAAACCTCGAAGCCCAAACTCTCCAGGAAAAAACTACAGTACTTATCAGCTAACAAAATCCATATAATTTGTTTCTTTAAGATGGCGGACACTGCTGTCAGTGGATGATCTTGTTGAAGACGTCGCCCTGGCGTTGGCCAATGGAAAACACTTGGAAAACACATACATCATATTTTCTTCAGATAATGGATTTCATTTAGGTAACTGTGACCAATGCTTGCCCAATTTAAACATTGTGTTAGAGAGTGTGTTACAGAATGGGTACATATCAATTTGTTGTTGAAGTTTTGTTGGAAAGTATGGTGGCCTTA